AGCTGGGGATTTGGCTCAGTGGTTCTGCTGCCTGTCTCATAAGCACAAGGACACGAGTTCAATTCCCAGTACCAAAAAAAAAAAGAGCAACAGGAAAGACCCCAAGAGGAGCAGAGAGGACAGTGGCCGCATGCAGCTCCTTGGGCTGAGAGGCTGCTGGGGACCTATAGCCCAAAGGGCTGTCACTCTGGGGTAGGCTTGGCAGCAGGACGAGAGGAGTGCAGGGAGGCCCTTCAAACACAGCAGAGCAACCAAGAGCCCCTTTCTCTGGTTCCCAAGCCCACTTTTCCCAAGTGAGCGGAAGTCCTTGCTCACTGTCAGCTGGTGATGCTGGGGAGCCCCCAGCACTAGCTCCTGACTTCAGTGAGCCCAGCCTGGGAAGGCGGTTAAGAAATCACTCAATGTTCACAACCTTCTGCACACCTGAGATGTATCCCAAGGAAAACCTGACACCCCTGCAGCCAAGTGCCAGGGTTCTCATTGCAGGGCAATGTTTAACCAGTTGGTTAAACTTCACAGGAGCATACAGTGTCCACAACAGCCTAGGCAGCATCTCCCCATCCTCTGTCCAGCAGGCACTGTCCCCAGGGTGCCATCCTGAAGGAAGCACTGGTCAGCAGGGCTGTGGCTGGGCCTCATTGCAGAGATCCTCTGTCAGAGACTGGATATTGAGTGTCCCTCGAATGAGCCCTTTGTGGCCCTCACTAGCCTCTGTCCCTTAAGCCTCATCCCAGTCGGGTGGGAAGGCGTAAACTGTTGCTGGGAGAAGCAGGAGGTCTATGTGTTGGGGAAAGGCACTCTGATCCCTGGGAGCAGACTTCTGGGGGACAGAAACCCAGTTCCGTGGTGGCAGGGCCCTTCTCTGGCCTCTGAATACTCTTCTGCAGTGGGAGGGAAAGGGATGATCAATGGCTCAGAGTTGGCCCACACTGGGTCCACTCAAGTTTCCTGGCAGGCCATAACCCCAGGGTGTACCTGAGCTTCATTTCTAGTGACTTTGTAGGTCCTTCCCGATTTAGGCACCAAGATGTGATTGTTCCTCTTCTGTGAGAGTGAGCCAAGACACTGAGCCATGCTGAAGAAGAAGGCAGGCCTAGGGTGGGGTCCTAGCCTGAGGTGCTTGTGCCTGTTAACTTCTGGGGAGACCCAGAGGAATGGGTGGGCTCCAGGGCTGGTGTGGACAAGGAGCTCAACCCCATGCTGCAGGCCATGAGCATGCTCCTGCAGAACCTGCTGCCTTGGGAGCTTGTTTGTTCTTTCCTGCTTCCTCCTCAGTCTCCAGCTATACCGTAAACACACTGAGGACAAACAGCTTGTCCTCCCTAACCTTGATACTTTGAACAGAGCCCACGTACTCATCCTTGCTGTAGTGACACCTGAGTTGCTGCAGATGGCTCCTGGGAAGGGGCTCCAGAGCCTGCGGAGAGTTCCTAATTCCTCTGAGCCCAGCTGCCTGCCCACACCTAACCTCAGGCTTCTCAAGGGAGCTCTTGTCTCAGTGTTTGTACCTCTCTGCTTCCTGTGAATCTGGCTTTTGGTGAAGCTCTCCCAGGACATGTGTCCTGTCCTCATGTGTGACTCTCCATAACGGTTGCATCATAAATGACCTTTGGCACCATGGTTGTGGTCTCTTGTGTTGTGGCAGATATATCCCAGTCTGGAGTTTCCCACAGTTATGTTGTATTGTCCAAAAATGTAACTTTCCAACTAGCCAATGTTGTTAAAGTTTTCCTTTTATATAATATCCTAGGGCTGGGGATTTAGCTCAGTGGTTCTGCAGCCTGCCTTGCAAGTACAAAGCACCAAATTCAATCCCTGGTAGCAAAAATAAAATATATAAATATAATATCCTTAGTCCTTAGTAGCATCTACACCTGAACAAACATCCCATTTGCTTTTGGAATTCAGAGACATTGAGTGGTTCCCTCATCGTGCAGGTCCCCATGTTGCCTCTGGTGGCCCACATTATCAGATACTGTCTCCTCCTTCTGCTTGCGAATATCTGTTTTCTCATAGTGTAAACATCTGTTTCTTTTAAAAAAGAAATAACTCACCCTCTTACCTCCCTTGGCTTAGGTTTGCAGTACCTGAAGCTTTGAATGCCATCCAGAAAGCAGAAGATGTCCTGTTGGTGCACTGTGGCCCTCAGAGTGATGAAGTCCAGGAGCTCCAGGAGATGAGGTCCTGTTTAATGGACTGGCCACCCATCCTTGTGGGGACCCAAAAGGATTCGGACCCATAGGAAAGGAGCTATGACCAATGAGTTTTAAAGGGTCCTGTTGCTACTGAGCTGTCATTAGAAAAGATAGGATTTGTCCAAAAGTCCCAGCCCCAATGTAAGAGGGGCAGGAAGGACTCCAAAAATGTTGCAGTTGGAAAGAGATGTATGTACACCTATTTTGATGGATATCTCTTGAAGTAGTTAATTCCCCTCCAATAAGAACTCCCAGTTCCCAGAAAAGACTGAAAACTAGTATCTGGAGAACACCATTACTATAAAGGGATTATAGCTGATCTGTAAACATCTGTATGTTCTTGGGCTTTTGGCCAGATTCCATCTCACTAAGCAATGTGAGTTTATCTCCCTGGAACATTCCTATAGTTTCTAGTAGTAATGAAATATTTCCTACCATTCCAGTGGGAACTTAAACTCTTAGTAGTTGTATTGTAATTGAAAAATAGTTCTAAAGCAAGAAATCAGTGCTGTTCCTTGCCTCCAGAGGAACAGAGTTCTACCTAGAGCATCTAGCTTTTTCAAATCCTTTGTTAAATACTGGTGGAGTAGGTTATGGATTTAGCTCAGTGGCCCTGTGCCTGCCTCTCAAGCACAAGGTCCTAAGTTTGATCTCCAATCAAAGGGGGAAAAAAACACTGGTTGAGTAGCCAAATGTAATGGCACATGCCTGTAATCCCAGCACTCTGAGAGGCCAAGGCAGGAGGATCACAAATTCTAACCCAGCCTGGGCAGCTTAGTGAAACCCTGACTTAAAACAAAGTAGCTCAGTGGAAAGTCTATAAATTCAGTTCACAGTAGAACAAAAACTGGTGGAGTGTAAATTGTGAATAGAGAAATAAAGATGGGGCCATCTTGTTGGGCAGTTTCTTCCTGGGATGACAACTCTGTCTTTATTTTCTGCTAGTTTTCCTGTCCTTATTCTCTGGCTTTCATTGAGTCTTCCTGGCAGACTCACTGACCAAACAGTAATAAAATAAAATAAAATTTGTAGGAATGACTTTATAACACATATACCTCCTTTTTTAGTTCTATTTATTAGCAAACCTGAAAGGAGACTACTTGCTACTAATCAACCTCCCCTATCTGGCAAAAGAAATACAGACTGGGAATAGGGTTAGAGAACTTCAAAAAATGCTGAGAGGCTGGGGATTTAGCTCAGTGGTTCCGGCCACTGCTTCGCAAGCGCAAGGACCTGCGTTCAATCCCTGGTACTAAAAAAATAAAAAATAAAAAAATGCTGAGAGAGGGTTAGCGAAGTAGCTCAGTGGTAGAGTGCATGAGGCCTTGAGTTCTATACCCAGCCCCGCTGGGAAAACAAGGTGAGGATATAGGTGTTGCTGCTTGTGTTTTCAAACTGAAGAGATGGAAGGTGGAGGTGGGTGCTCCTATGATAGCAGTAGTCCGGATGCCATTCTGGTCACAAGGTGATAGGACTCTCTGGTTCTGAATGATGTTCCTCTGTCACCACTGGTGACCAAGTGGTTCAGATGAGTTAGTGAGAAAGAATCCCAGGTCCACACTGCTTTGGAGAGCTTGCCCCCCTTGTCCGTGCCCAAGAAGGAGCCCTTGGTTGCCATGGTAACACAAGGAGGAACTGGATAGTCCTAAAGAGGCTTGGCAACAATTTTTCAGGAAGCTGAGTGTTTGGAATACAGTTAGCATTCAAACATTTATTGAATGGAAAGTGGACAGAGTTTTATTTTTCCTGTCCTCTAATAACATCACCAAGGAAATGGCCAGTGGGATTTTTTGGTAGAGCTTTTTTTTTTCCCTCATTGAGTTTATTGGTACATTTTAGGTATACAGTACAGTTACATTCATTATTGGGATCTTGTACCTTTACATAACAGGTCTTGGTTCTCATTTTTTCCCCTTGTCCCTGCCCTCCCTTCACCCCCTCCTCCCCTCCCCCTTTACAAACACTTCATTTCCATTTTTTCATTTTCTCATATTTTT